TATATATATATATATTTTAGAGAACTTTTCTGACTTCCTTTCAGTTTCTTAGAGTAGAAGTCTGAAAGGTACCGTATTTCTTTTAGCAGGAGCCTGTGTCAACCTCATCCAGGAAGAATTGCGTTATGGACAAAAAGTGCCAGGTAGACTTTGAAGCAAATCCAGGGCCAGGGAGGAGCTGAGGGGACTGGGCCCTTTGTTCTTATCTGCTGCTTAGGGTTCTACAAAGAACCTGCACTCCTTGAGATGCAGCCTTTAGAGCAGGCTGAGGTGAGGCTGCACCAAATCCTAACCTATAGACACCCCAGCACATCACCGCTCTGCAACACAGATGGAACTGTGCCTACAATGAAGAAAATAATGGTTTCCCCGGAACCTCTCAGGGTAACTAATTGGAAAGCACTTGAGACATCCGGGCATGTCTATAGAAATAAAGAATAAAGTCATGGGTCAAGGGAAGCTTCTGTGATGCTTCTAGAGCCCGCAAATTTGGACTTAATCACCCAGCTGCTCCCTATAAATGGTTATTTATAGAAGAGGCACTTTATGCAAGTCTAGGGAAGGGCTTGAGAAGGGCTTGCTGATCTCACATGCTCCCCAAGTGCTCAGAATTCATGATCCTTTGTGGTTTGGTATTACATCACTCGCATAATTTAAATTGCTATTTCAGAAATGATGATTTACATATATAGAGACGCACATACATTCCTCTCCCTGATGCCACGTGAGAAAGCTGTGGGGGTGTTTGTGGAAGATGGCTTTAGAAACAGAACTCAGGTTTCTTTTATTATTATTATTATTGTTATTAATTTACCACCATGATTGTTGGACTATCAAGTGTCAGTGACTATAAATACTTACCAGTGAGAATCCCAATACATCTAAAGGGCATATTATTGCAGGGGGGGGTTCATTTTTCTCAGAGACCTATTATTCCCTGTTGTCCCTTTTCTTTTCACCTTTCAAGATTACTGTCTTAGTTTGTTTCTCCATTGCTGTGACAAAACACTCTGACCAATACCAACTTGGAGAGGAAAGGGTTTATTTATCTTACATCTCCCAGGTAGCAGTTCATCAGGGAGCCCAAGGTAGGAATTCAGGGCAGGAACCTGGAAGCAGGAGCTAGAACACAGGCCATGGAGGAACTTTGCTTATGGCTTACTCCCCTGGCCCCTGTTCAGCCTGCTTTCTTATGCAACACAGGCCCACCTTCCCAGGGGTGGCACCACCCACAGTGGGCTGGGCCCTCCCACATCACTCATCAAGAAGATGCCCCTCAGACATGGCCACAGGCCAGTCCAATAGAGGTAATTCCCTAATTGAGGCTCCCTCAACCCAGGTGTGTCAAGTTGACACTAAAGCTATCCAGCATAACAACTTGTTTAGAAACAACAACACAAGAAGACTATTACATATTTACTTATATTTTATGCACAAACATTTCCCCAACCCCTGAGTTCTGTTTCTTATAAAGGAGAAGCAACATGGGATTTTACAGTCACTGTATTGGAAATCGAGAGACTTGCCTTTTGGTTCTAGTTTTGCAACTAACAGAAGAGAGATCTTAAGCAAGAAGCTTCACCCCTCTGTTTCACCATCTATAAATTTAACTGTCTTGGATATAATTCAACATCCCTCTGTATGTGGAACATTATATGAGTTTTAAAAAAGGCATGCCCTTCTCAGGGTTAAGGTGCCATGTTGTGCTTGGTTTGGAACCTGAAGTCTATGGTGACCTAGCAGAGATTTCGTGATCTAGTGTCTATCTCAGGGCTCTTCTCATGTGAACAAACTTGCTATGATTCAGCTAAAAGGAACTCTTTTTAGTTCCCCAAACATAGTGTGTTTTAATCTCTGTTTGACCTTGTAGCCAAGCTTTGAGATTGGAATGCTCTGTTCTCTGCTCCCCTCCTCAGTACCCACTTTCAGGTTACATTCCTGACTTGTGTTCATCCTTCTGGTTGTAGCTCCTTAGCGGTCACTTCTCCCAGCCTCCCTCCTTGGCTATATTAGCTTAGGATTCATCGTCTATGACCCTGTAACTCCTTAGTATCTTCTAACATCTCATTTATTGTGCTGTATCATAACTGTCCCTTTACTTGTCTGCATCCCATCATAGACCATCTGAGAGAGCAAAGATGGATCTGTTTGACCTCCTGCTGCATCCTCAGGGCCTGGCATAGAGTCTAGAAAATAACAGGAGTTCAGAAAAACAGATCAAATAAATGAGCAAAAGTGAAATCTTAGGCTTTGCCTTTAAAATTTGTTTACTATTATTTTTTATTTTTATTTTATGTGTATGAGTTTATTGTCTGCATGTATGTTAGTGCATGTATGGCATGGAATGCCCAGGGAGGACAAGGACAAAAGAGGATATCAAATTCTCCTGGAACTGGAGTTATGGATGGTTGTTAGCTGCTATGTAGGTGCTGGCAATTAAACCCCGGTCCTTTGCAAGAGCAGCCAGTGTGCTTAACCCCTGAGCCATCTCTCCAGCTGTTCCCAAGTGAGAGTTGCACTCCTATTTGGGAAGCTGTGACTCAAGTGTGGGGGTTCCATGGATGGGCAAGAGAGTTTTATGTTTAGAAAAGTGCCAAATCACTAGGACATGTAGTCTCCACTGAAAACCATCACAGACCTTGCTTCATGGCCATCAGTAGTGGAGGAACTGGAATGAGAAAACATGAAGTAATAACTATTCTCAAGTTCCTCACCTCATTTAACTTTTACCATTATCCTCTTAGGAAAATACAACCATTGGTTCCATTTTATTATTGAAGAAACTCAGGCAGGTTAAGGAGCCTGCCCAAGGTAACGCTGTTTGCCACAATGACATATTTTCCCCTTCTCAAAGTAAATTCATGCATTCACATGCTATCTTATTCCAGAAAAATTCCTAATGTAAATTGCTGGGATATAGTATATTAAAATTAAAAATCAGTAAGAGATCAGGCAAGACAGCTCAGTTCCTAAAGCCTGACAACCTGAGTTCAGTCTCTAGGACTTATATAGTAGAAGGGAGAGACCTGACTCCTACAAGCTGTTCTTTGACCTTTACATATGTGGAGAGAGAGAGAGAGAGAGAGAGAGAGAGAGAGAGAGAGAGAGAGAGAGAGGAATATAATTAAAAAAAATCAATGAGATTTTCTAAGAAGGAAGAAGGAAAGGGGTATAAACAGGGGACTGTGACAAAAGTGTATGTAAGAGCAGACAGAAGAAGCAACACCTGTCTGAAACCCGAGTTATCACAACACTTCACGTTTGGCTTTAAACATTGCTGTAGTTAGCAAGCAAGGAGAAGCTTGATGGTTAAGTTACACAATTTTGAGTGGCCTTTAGATAATGCTCTAAATTACCTCATTCTCTAGATGAAGAACTGAGGCCCACGCCCAGAAAAGGGAAAGGTTACACGAGGCTGGCTGGTCCCAGACTCCAGATCTTTCTCTAGGAAACTGGGTTACCATATTCTTTGAATCCTAAAGTATTTGCTAAAGCAAACTTTAACCTGTTATTTATTATTTTAAATGACTTTATTTTTAAATTGTGTGTGTGTGTGTGTGTGTGTGTGTGTGTGTGTGTTTATGTGTGTTTGTGGGGGGGGTGTGTGTACATGAGT